GGGGTGATCGAGAGGACAAGGGAGCTCTCGACCTGCACCCTTAGGCTTCGGCCGCCGAGTGGCAGCAACTTGAGAGTTTGATCGGGGGGCTCGAAAGGGCGGCGCGCCTCGCGGCGGATGTTTTGCCGTATTCCCCGAGGGTGCACAGCCAGCGCCCACTTGGGCGTATGCGTCCGCGTAGGATGACCGAGCAATCCACCAGCTGGCACCATTGGGAGAGCTGGTTGTGGGGCCACAGGTGTGCCAAGCGTTTATGTTCCCATGGGGGTGGCCTCCAGTCTCGGCCAGAAGTGGGATGCCAGGGGCTCTCCCAAAGTTTCGCCGAACTCCTAGCGGAAGCCCCCCGCAATGGGCGCAGGCTAGCGAGCGCGCAGGTCAGCGACGAAGCCTTGCTGTTCGTGTTTTGCATGGCAAATGGTAGCTGCTCACAAGAGAAGGTGCGCAACCTGGCAATCAAGTGCGAACCCGAAGAGCACTGCGCAGGGGGCAATGTTCTGAGTGGATTGAAGCGGGGTCTCCACTCCCAACGCAACGCTACCGTGTCCTGTGCTGCGCAAGGGAAGCCAGCTGCAGGAACAGCAGTCCGTTCCATTGCCGCCGAGTCGAGAGCGCGCCTCGTCTCGTCGAGGGCTGCGCCCCTCGAGCGTCTGGCGGCCGTCCGCGCCCGCGCCGCCGAGCGTGAGTCAGGGGGGCGGGTGGTGGCGGGTGCGGGGGCTGGACCGGATATTGCCTCTTTGGGGGGAGTGGCAGTCGCGAGGCCCGTGGGCCGTCCGAGTGCCGCGGCCCCCGTTCGAGGGCTGCTGCCGGCGCTGCCGTCGGCAGCGCCGCGGGCCCCTGTTCGGGGGTTGCCGTCGGCGCGAGGGGCGAGGGGCTCGGCGAGCGCCCTGGGGCGGCCCCCTAGGTTCTGCGCTCCCGTTTCTGGCGGGGGAAGGCGTTTCCTTGCCCCGTCCCTCGGTGGAAGCAGAGGGGACTGCCGTCGTGATCTCCGGAGACCCCCCGCTGTTTCGCCGCGCGCGTCGTCGGTCCTTCGAGGGGATGTGGGCGATGCGGGTTTCATCCCGATACCTCGCCAAGACGAGGGTTCGGGATCGGACTCGCGTTGCGGGGTGAGCTGTTTGGCCGCGGGGCGGCCTCTTCAATCTCGCGGAGGCGACCTTGCGGCCTCGCATCTCTCCTCTGATCTGTTATGGTTTATGGCCATTGGGTGGGTGGCCGAGGCCTGGCGCCTCTGAACTGGTGCGGCCGCGCGCGGCCACAGACAAAAAAGCGCGCAGTCGATGCGCGCAGATCTCGCATATTTTGCTGCTGAGCGTTCTGGACCTGCCTGGGCCTCCGTCAGCTTCAGCTTGGCTCAAGTTGTGGATTTGTCTGGCTTCGCCATCGCGCTCGCCTGCGCGCGCCAGCCCTCGGGGTTTATGGTGATATTTGCCGAGCGCAGCTCCGAGAGTACCGCGACTTCCTTGGACTTCCAGCGCGATTGTATCGGGGCCATGGCGTCGACTGGGGCCAGCAACTTCAAGCGTAACATCGCCAGTGCGACCGCGTCAACAGCAGCCAGGCACTCGGCCGTAACAGCGGGGCTCCACGACTGGGGCCAGCAGCGCCATGCCCAGCAATAGTCGCGAGGCCAAACGGAGGCGGGCAAATCTTGCCCCCCCACGCACGCGCGATTTGCGTCGGGGTTGGTGGGTGAAAAGATTGAATGGCTGAACAACAACATGGCTTTTCAATCGCCCGCGTTTCCAGAGTGATATATTTCGTTAGCAAGACAATGGTTTTGTGATTTTTCAATATAGCGGTTCCTTTTTTAAATATATAAAAAAAAGGGTTTGCATAATTTCAATTTGGCGCCCCCTTTTCCAGGAGTTGATTTTTCCAATCCGAGGGTTCGCGGATTGATATATTAAGAAAAACGAATGTTTTTTTCCATGTTGCTTTGTTTTTCCGTTCAAGTGGTGTCACTGTTCGCTCCAGCATTTCTGCTTTCGATACTTCCGTTTTCTCAATCCGGCAATGGCTTCAATTATTGCAACCTGTACAATTGTCACCCTGTTATCATCAGCGCAATATGGATCGTCTTATGACCGGTGCAGTAGGAATCCCACTGCGACCGGCACAACGGGAAACATTTTGTAAGTTGCGCGCCAAGAATCCGTTTGTAAGTTGTCACTAGGGGTCCAATTGTGGCCAGTGTAATGAAAGTCCTATTGTAACCTGTACAGTAGAAATTTTATCGCAATCGTGACAATAGGAACCCCGCTGCGACAAGTGCAAAAAGAATCGTTTGGCAAGCTGTATAGGATTCCTTCGCGCCCAGTGCAATAGCACTCTTTTAGCGACCAGTGCAATGGGAATCCGGTTGCAATCTGCGCAATAAGGATTTCAGTGTCTTTTTTCCAATAGGAATTCCGATGTAATTTGTAAGATAGGAGTTCTATTGTAATTTGTACAAAAGGATTCTTAGTGTAACCGGTATCACAGAAATCCTGTTGTATTCACAACAGCGGGTATATTTTGTGACCAGTGCACGGATTCTCTCGCGACTGGTACAACTAGAAGCCTATTGTAAGCTAGCTGGTACACAGTCCCTCTTGTATTTTAACCAGTAAAATCATATTGCCATCTTTGCAGTAGGAATCTTGGTGTAACGAGTAGTACATTAGGAATCCTATTGTAAACCGTGCAATAGGAAGTTGATTCTTACCTGTGCAGTAGGAGCTTGATCGTTTTCGGCACGGAGAGAGCGTTTCGTAATTCATGCAATGCGAATCCTGTTGCGACTTGGCACAGCAGGAATCATTTTTTACGTGACCGCTAAACGGAAAATCTTGTTGCAACCTGTGCAGGAGGAATCTTATTGTAACCTGTACAATATAAATCCGATCATAACCTGTGTGTTGGAAGTTTTGATGTAACTTGTACAGTTAAGAATTCTGTGGTAACTTGTGCAATAGAGTCTGTTTTTGTAGAGTGTACAATAGGGATCCTATTATCACCGCTACAGTGGGAACGCGACTGTAGCTGGCAAAACAGGAATATTATTGTCATATGTAGTCAAGGAATCCGAATGTAACCTGTACAGTAGGCATCCTACTGTATTTTGTACGCTAGGGATCCTACTCTGAGTTGTGACCTGTACAATAGGGGTCTTATTGTAGCCGGTATACATAGGAATCTGAGTGCAACCTGGGCTACAGGAATTCTCTTGTCATCTGTCCAATAGGAATATTGCTTTCATGTCTACACCATTATTCCTTTTGTACCCTGTACAGTAGGAGTCCTATTGTAATCTGACCGGTTACATTCAGCATCCTGTTGTCATCTGCGTCATAGGAGTCCCAGTGGTCATCTGTACAGCGCAAGAAAGATCCGATGGTCACCTGTCCAATCGACCTCCACATGTACCGCTGTTCAGTATGATCTTTGTGTGCGTGTGTATATATATACATGGATTCACAATCGGGATCGTTTTGTGACTGGTACACCAGGAAAGCTAATCCAATTTGTACATTAGGAATCCCATCCAGATTAGCGCAATGCGAATCCTGCTGTCATCTGTGCAATAGTAATCCTGTTGTTCAGATGTGCAATAGAATTCCGAGTGTGACCTATGCAGTAGGAGCCCCACTGTATCCTGTACACTTAGGAACTCCATTGTAACTTGTACAATCGGAGTCCTAACGATCCTTGAAACCGTGAGGGTTCGCCGATTGAAAGATCCAGTATTCAACGAAATCATTGTTTTTCAACCCGCACATTTCTGGATTGAACGATTGAAGAACCAGAAAGGTTTACTCAGTTTTTCAATATGGCAGATTCGTTTTCAATATTTTCGTTATTTTCAATTTTGCAAGCCAGCACTCCCGCTTTAATACGTTATTTTTTTCAATCCGTGGGTTCGCGGACTGAAATATTGAAATAATCGATGTTTTTTTCTTGTCGCATTTTCCCAATCCAGCAACTCGGTGTCAATATTTTCGAATTTTCAGTTTCCCAATCCGGCAGTTCTTTTTTTTCAATGTTCTCAATTCTTCCATCCGGCAGCGACCCAACATCAATTTATCTAACCCATTATTTGTTGATTTGTATCGCTGTTTTGACGTCTTGCCCCACGCTCGGGTTGGCGCAAGCCCGAGGTTCCCTCGCTTCTCAAGGTGCTGGCGACAGGTTTTGTGGTCCGTGTTCTGCGAGTCTGGCTTTGTGCAGGCGGCTGCGCGGTATGATTGCCACGTGTCCCGTTTTTTGTTTTCGCACTCTGCTGCTGTCTCAAGCACGGCGTCGGCTCATGCCATCGTTTCGCGCGCTCGCCTCCCCCTGCTCCCCCCTTGTCCCTCCTCCCCCGCCCCTCCCCCCCCTTCCCCCGCCCTCCCGCTCCGTCTCCCTCCCTCCCTCGTCCCATCTCTCTCCCCCTTGTTTCCTCCCATTCCCTCCTTCCGTGCCTTGTGCCCTTTCCTTGCGGGTTTGAACAAGCGCCAGGGTGTCGCCGCCCCCGCCCACAACCCCGAACCGGCCCCCGCCGAGGGGAGAGCACCGCGCGTCGAAGGCGGCGATGTGGCGAGGTTGACCTCCGTCGGCAGCCCCCAGAGGCCCGACGTCGCGAACAAACCGCAGCGTGGTGAGAACTCTCGGCGGCGAACCCAGGGTGGAAGTGAGAGGGGGCAGGCCTTCTCAGAAGGCGGGCCCCCCGACCACGCCTTGTGGCGCCACCTCTCAGGCTGCGTCGAAGCGTGAGGGCCGCGAGGGCCCGAGAGCACAGCGGACACACGCACAGTGCGACTCTGCTGCGGGGCCCGGGCCTCCAGGTTTTGAGCGTGCATTGGCGCAGCGGAGGAGGAGGAGGAGGGGGAGGAGGAGGAGGAGGAGGAGGAGGAGGAGGAGGAGGAGGTGCACTGGCAGCGTCGCTGGGCCCCGGGCCCTTCATTCGTGCGCACGGCGCCCGCAGGCGGGAGCCTCGCCGGCCTGGCTCGCGGTGGCCCCAGAAAAACGAGGGCGGCTGGCAGCAGCGCCGGCGTCTCGGCGGGCATGCCCGCGAGGGTCGCGCTCTTCCAGCTGGCGAGCTCGGAGGATCCAGGCCTTCCAGATGGGGTCCGAGCAGATTGGGTCGGAGGATCGCCCCGCATTGCCGATACATCGACCATGCGGGCCGATGTGGAGTCCGATTCTGTTCTCGCCGACGTCGCCGATACATCGCCGACGTCGCGGACAGATCGCCGATGCATCGGCGATGCGGCGCGATCCTCAGATCCCATCTCTTCAGACACCATGTGAGAAGCCTCTAGTGGAGGTGTTCCTGAGATGCGGCTTTGCGCATTTTTGTAGCTCTGGGCGTTATTGCCCAGTCTGGGGCCCTGTGTCCTCACGGGTCGATCGTGCTCGAGAGATGCTGCAGAAAGATGGGGCCGAGGGAACCTGTGTCGTTCCCAGCCCTCCGTTGTAGGGTTCTCGTTGTGAGTAGAACACTGTGGTCGCGTCCTTCTTCCCGCCCCCCCTCCTTCCCCTCCTCTCTCTCTCTCATCCCTGGTGGCTGCGATCTGCGAAACTGTCGCCATTTTCGAGGGCTGCTGGGGGGCCCGCAAAGCGACGTTGTACGCGGACTCCGATTTGACCTCGTCATCCCAGGGGGACTGCGATCTGCGAAATGCCGCAACTTTCGAGAGCTGCTGGGGGGGCAGCACAGTAACGAAATACGCGGATTCAGATTTGACCTCGCCATCACTGGGGGAAAACACAATATCGAAACTCTACCTGGGACAACATGTGGGCCAGACGATGCACTGGCGGAGTATTGGAAAGCATTGGCACAAGATCCGCATGGACTGCAGTGGATCTGGAATGAGAAGCAATTGCCATCATACTGGCGACATGCTGTGAGATCCACCATATACAAGAACAGAGGCCTTGTTGATCAGTGTGACTGTTATCGCCCAATCAGCCTGCTGTGCGTCATTTACAAGATCTGTTCTAGCCTGTTGTTGTCGAGACTACAAAATGCAGGCGCCGAAAACCGACTCACAACAACATAGTTTGGGTTCATGAAGAAGCGGGGCACGTCCGATGCAGTGCACGCAGTACGCCGTTATATTGAAATGTCGTGCGGTGATCGTGATGGAAAAAGTATAACTTCTCGCGCTGGACTGGAAACAAAAACGTTTGATTCGATCAAAGTGGATGCTCTGCCTGAAACGCTGGAAATGTTTGGGGTGCCCAACAATGCGCTTAGCATGATCCGGGATATCTGCACAGACGTTTTTTTCCGTCGCGGGTGGCCCGCGGAGATCGCGAAAGCGGGACCAATTATCCGGCATTTTCAAGGCTGTCCATCATCTCTATTTCTTTTCGTCATGGTCATGAGCGTGCTCATCGAGAATGCAAGGGAGGCCGAGAACCCGGTATGGAACTTCATTGGGACACGTCCATTTTTTTTTGCGTTCGGGGTGCGACTTTTTATTGTGAGACCCCAGTGGCAACGTCAGTGATTCCGCTGGGCACATTTAATGTTCTGGAGCACATATTTTCATATTTGGGAGGCTCGAGCAAGAACTCCGCCGCCAGCTTGGGGCAGCTTGGGGCGAATTCCAGAGATATACAAGGGCATGGAAGCACACGTCGATCTGCATTTCAAGAACATTGGAATTGTTTGGGGCACTCAGCGCGACCAAAGTCATGCATTCGCTGAATTCCGCGTGATTGACCCAATCAGAAAAGCGGCGTCTTGATGGATTCCAAGCGAGATGTTTTAGAAGTATTGCGAAGGTCATACGGCTGGTGCCGCTGACCCTGCAGACGGAGACGACGAGCAGGACAAGCGCGTTGAAGAGCAGGAGTCGGCGTGCGCGACCGCGCGCGCCCCTCTCGCCCTGGCCCCCGGCTCGGCGCGCGGATGTGGCCGCGTGGCCGCGCCAAAGATCCCGCGGCCACCTGCGCGCCGAGCGCGCGCGAGGTTCCGCGGCTAGAACGAGGAGTCTGCGCGCCCCTGCGGGTTGCGCGCGGGCTGGGCCCCGTGGCCGCGCGCAGAAAACTCGCGGGCTTTCCCGCGTCGGGCGCGGGCGTGGCCGCGCGGCCTCGCCGACAAATCTGCGGCCCCCGCGCGCGGCGGGCGCGCCGGCGGGGCTGAGCAAAACGCGCGGGCCGCCGCGCCTGGGTCTGCGGGGGAGTAGGGGCGCTTCATTGCGATCGCTGCGGGGAAAGCTCTGCGCTGCCCGGCGCAGATGGCGGGCGCGCGCGCTAGCGCCGCCCGCCGCGGCCTCGCGCCAGGGCCCGGCGCGGGGCCCGACGGCGGGTCGCCGACGCGCGCCGCGCGCGGCCTCCGCCCGAAAAGTGCCAATAAGGCGCCGCGCGCGCACCCGTGGCCGCCGGGGGCTTCTTGAATGCTGGCGCCCCATGGCAGCGCGGGCTGAATCATCCGGCGCATTGCGTTTTGCTTCAAGACGCGACCATCTGCAGGCTGTCGGCCCGATCCATCGGGGCTGTCAGTCGGCGCGGCCCTTGAGGTGGCCCTCGGCCGTGGAAGGCGCATCCTCCGAGGGTGCCGCAATTTCGTTATTTGTTTTTCTCGCGGCGCCTGGGGGCAAGTGCATTTGGCCCCTTCAGCGACGGGCCCGCGAAATCGGACCTCGCCGGCGGCGGGGCGGGGCGCGGGGCGCCCCGCTGGCGTCGCGCGCGCGCCGGCGGCGGCCTGTTCAGGCTGCCCTGGCGGGGGGCTGCGAGGCCCACTGGGGCCTTCGACCCCGGCGGGGGGAGGGCCAGGGTGGGCCGAAATGAGCTCTGGCGAGGCCGCCGAATTTTTTTCGTGCTCCTGCGAGGCCGCCCTGGGGACCCCTGGGGGGGGCGGGGGGGTCAAACTCTCGAGCTTGTTCGAACTTTTGGTCGAAGCGTTTTTTTTTTTTTTTTTTTTTTTTTTTTTTTTTTTTTTTTTTTTTTTTTTTTTTTTTTTTTTTTTTTTTTTTTTTTTTTTTTTTTCTTCCTTCCTCTTCTTCTTCTGGGTGTGTGTGTGTTCCCCCCCGCCCTCTTCTCGAACTCCGGCGAGGCCGCGCCCGGGGGGGCGGGGGGTCACATTTTCGATTGGTTTTTCGAGCTTGTTCCGAACTTAGTTTCAACATTCAAACATTTTGACATTTTATTTATTTGGTTAGGGGGTTTTCCGAGCTCCGGCGAAGCCGCCCTGGGGGGCCCCCGGGGGCGCGGTGGGGGGCAAAATTCATACTTTTTGATATTGTTTCGAGTTGTTTCTCGGACATTTGTATTTTTTCGGGCCCCTGCGAGGCCGCCGATTTTTTGTTTCGAAGTCTGGCGTGGCCGCCGACGTCCTCTCGAACTCCGGCGAAGCCGCCCCAGGGGCCCCTTGGGGCGGGTCGCGGGGGGCGGGTCTCTGCACCTAGGGGGGCTCGCGGGGGGGGGGGCGCGGAGGGGGGCGGGGCTCGGGCCGGCCCGGCTCGGGGAGCGGCAGAGCGCGCGGCGCGCCTCTTTCTCCTGCTGGCGCGGAGGCGTCGGAGCTCGCGGCGCATTGCCGTTTCTCTCTGCGCGAGACGGCTAGGGCAGCGCAGCGTGGCGTGCAAGCAGCGGCGCGGCTCCTGGCAGGAGCGATATGCCCGTTTTCCCGTCGACCCGATGGTCTAGGTCTCCCAGATGGGGTCGGAGTAGATGGGGCCAGAGGATCGCTCCGCGTCGCCGATGCATCGCCGATGCGGCTCGATGCGGAGCCCGATTTGCTTCGCGTCGACGTCGCCGATGCACGGTCCGCGTCGACGACGCATCGCCGGTGCATCGCCGACGCGTCGTCGACGCGTCGCCGATGCATCGGCGACGCGGCGCGATCCTCCGGCGCTATCTACTCCGACCCCGTCCAGAAGGCCTCTGGATGTGCGGCGGGGAGCGATGGGGTTCCATGCCAAACGCAAAAAGGCCATGAAGCCTCTTCCTCCTCCTCCTCCCCCTCCTCCTCCTCCCCCTTCCCCTCGTGCTCGTCTTCTTCCTCCTCCGCCGCCCCCCCCCCTTCCGACCCCCCCTGCCCCTTCCCGCCCCTCCCCTCTCCTCCTTCTCATCCTCTTCCTCCTCTCCTCTTCCGCCCGCCCTTTTCCCATCTCCCCCCCTTCCGCCTCCCCCTCTTCCTCCCCGCCCGCCTCCCCCCCCTCGCCATCCCCTCCCCGGGGGGGCTTGCCAGCGCCCTGCGAGCTCCCGTCAATTCTCGAGCCGCTGGGCTCGATGGGGGCCCGCTGGGGCATCCAGCCCAGGGCGGGGGGCCCCGGAGTCTGGAGGCGGCCCCCCCATGGCCCAGGAATCGTGAAAGGCCGTCGTCGTTGTCGTCGTCGCCGTCGTCGTCGTCGTCGTTGTCGTCGTCGTTGTCGTCGTCGTCGTCCGTCGTCGTCCTAGTCGTCGTCGTCGTCGTCGTCGTCGTCGGCGTCGCCGCCGCCGTCGTCGCCGCCGCCGCCGCCGTCGCCGCCGGGGGGCCCCGCCGTCGTTGCTGCGGCCAGGTGCGCCTCGCAATGTTGCGTTGCAGGCCCGCCGTCGAAGCGCGCGCAGGGGGCCCGGGGGCGGCGTGGCAACAGCTCGCGCTTCCATCGAGCGTTCGCCCAATTTGAACATTTTCCGAACTTCCGCTGTGGCTCAAAGTCGAATTTCCCTGTCGGCAGTTTCTTGCAGTCGAGGTTTCTTCTGCCACTCCTGCGCTCGGCAAACTTTGGCGCCCGCTGCCCCGCGTTTTCGAACTCAGTCGTTGTGCCGGGGGGCCGCCTTGACTTTTTTGTCGAATTTTCGGTTCGGGGGTATTTCGAATTCGAAGTTTGGGTTTTCCCTCCGCCCGAACTCCAGCCCGAACTCCATTAGTTTTCCAAGGGTGGCCGCTTCTGCCCCACTCGGCCACTCGTGACCCTGTGAGGCCGCGGAGCGTATGAGGGGTGCGCCAATATGGGGCTGGAGCTGCATGCAGACCTTGCCGCCGGGGCCTTCGGTGGAGCCTCCTATGGGGCCGCGAAGCGCGCGAGGGGCGCGGCGGGGGGGGGGGGGCGCGGGGCGTTGTCTTTCAAAAGGGTGGTTTGGGACAATTCAGACCGCCAGTGGGAGCGCGCAACCGCG